CTTAGGCAGGTGCAAGGGACCATGGTTCCATCCCCAGCACCACATACCACACCAGCCCCGCCCTCAGGGGGCTGAGCTGTTAAAAAATAAACATATATATACACAAAACTATAGATGATAGCATGCTTTCAGACTCTTAGAAAGGGAAAAATATTGAATAAAACAGATAATTTTGCCAGGAATGATGGTGCATCACTATAAACCCAATACTCAGGAGGCTGAGTTTAAGACCAGCCTGAACTACTACTCCTCGTCATATTTCTAGGATTTAAAGTGAAACTAGTAGTAGATTTTCATGTCATTATTTTGTGTTCTTCTTGACTTCTCTTGTATCCAGGCTGTACCAACTGTCCAAAGCTGGGAAGCTCTGTGTTCCCGCCATGAATGTCAATGACTCAGTCACCAAACAGAAATTTGACAACCTCTACTGTTGCCGTGAATCAATTCTTGATGGGTAATACTTATTATCTTTGAGATGAACTTGACTTTTGAGTTGTTAAGGTTCTGATGTTTTTATTTTTTGGTTATTCATAGAAATTATTCATATGGCACCTCTGGCTCTATTACTACATCATACTCAATATTTTATAACTCAGAGCTACTTTGCCATCACTTTGTGTGTGTGTGTGTGTGTGTGTGTGTGTGTGTGTGTGTGTGTGTTTAGGGAAGGGTCTACAGGGTGTTCAGGGTCTCACTACTAGATCAGACTCGTAGTGATCTGCCTATTTACAACCTCCCAAGAGATAGGATTACAAGCACATACCACCATGCTCAGTCTCAATTGCCATCTCAGCACACCCCGGAGGGGTGGGGCTGGCATGGCAAGCCCAGGGATCGAACTCCTGGCCCCTATGCCTGCTTGCAAGTTCTTTAATCCACTGAGCTATTTGGCCAGCCCTTGCCATCACTATTTTAAGTGAATCTATTTCATTTAAGAAATGAGACTAGCTCCTATGTATTGACAGGGCAGAGTTCTTATTTTGTGACCACCAGGCCTATAAGTCATTAACTAAAGTCAGAATTAATAAGCAAATATCTTCTAGTTTAAAAAAAGGTTCCTAGTGATCCTGTTTCAGGTCTTTGTGGCTTATCCTCCAACTGCATATAATTCTAACTATCATATAATTCTCTGGTCACCTGGAAACTTGTGGTGAGCAGAATCAATTCACAAGGCATTTCTGGTTATTCATATCTGTAAGACAAGCTTATAATCCACTGAGTTATATATATGGATTATACCGTATATATCCAGTATTTGGATATATACCAAATACTGTGTTTTGCTAATGTTGAGTTTCTATTTTTCTAATGTTTAGTTTCTGTTTCCATACATGTGTTTTGACATTCTTTCATTATTGCTAGGAAAACTACATGTATTAGTCAGCTTTCAGTTATTGTAACAAATATGTAAAATACCTTATAAAAAGAAAAGGCTTATTTTAGTTTACAGTTTCACAGGTTTAAATCCACAGCAAGTTGGACCCATTGATTTTGGGCCTGTACCACATCATGCCAGAAAATGTATAATAGAGTAAAGCTGCTCACCTTGTGGCCAAGACTGGGAAGAAGAGGAAAAGGAAGGAGCTAGGGTCCCACTGAACCCTTCAAAGATATGCCCTCAGTGACAGGAAGATTACCCACTAGTTCATGCAAATGAATAGAATCCCACTCAGTCAGAATTTTATCAGAGTCAGAAATGTATGAAAAAGGGCTGAGGTAAGTGCCTGCTTAGGCAAGCACAGGGACTGGGTTCAATCCCAAACACCACATGCTGTGCTAGTCCTACCCCCAGGCATCCTGAGGTGGCCGCTGAGACTGGGCATGGTGGCACACACTTGTAATCCTGGCGCTGGCGCTGGGGAGGCTGAAAACAGAGAATCACGTCTGAGCTGCATAATGAGACCCTGTACCAAATACGAGAGAGAGAGAGAGAGAGAGAGAGAGAGAGAGAGAGAAAAGAGAAAAGAAAGAAGGAAGGAAGGAAGGAAACAAAGACAGAAGCAGTTGAACCAGAGTTAAGGTTAGATTTCACAGTGAAAAAAATAGGAAAATATCAACTATTACTGAAACTTGTGAGTCATAAGAACTTATATATACCTTCAGATGATGAGAAAATTTTCCAGTTGGTTCAACTCCTTTTAGAGGAGAGGGAAGATGAAAGGAGGGTTAAACTGTACTCAAGGCAGAGAGGACAGTTGGGCTAATAGAGCATCTGTTTGAGGAAGGTATTGGTGATGGCCTTTCTGTACTTGGCTGCTCGCACAGGACCACCGTAAACAAGGAAACCCCACTGCCTCCTAGGGGACACTTCTGGAATTGGGCTGTGGTGCCACATGCAATGCAAGTTCAGCCTTCTGGAGACTGGAGTTCCTTTTGACAGAGAGAGGGTAGCCTTGGAGCTGCAAGAGAGCCCAGGCAGAATTTCCAATTTATGACTTAGACTGTTACAGGAACTCTTCTACATTAGGGTCCTAGAACTAGAAGATTTAGTAAGAAGTTGGAGAATTGACTAGGCTATTATTCAGTACAGGTCAGTTTATTGCTCTAAGGCCCCCCCAAATTCATCCTTGGCTGAGGTCTTTTCTATCCTTTATCATTTCACTTTGAGACAGATGTGGGCCCCTAAGATCACAAGGAAACCTGCCTAAGTAGAATCCATATATGTCTGTCCCCTAACTATTGTTTGTAGAAGCAGTGTTGATCATGTTTCCATTCTACCTCAGCCATTAGTAATCCCAGAAAGAAAGTGTCTTCCTTTCTAAAGGAAACAAAACAAATTAGAGACTCAATCTAACCTCAGGGCAAAACAAGAGATTTTTTTTTTCCTGATTTAATGGTGTTTTTCCTCCTAGACTTAAAAGGACAACAGACATGATGTTTGGTGGAAAGCAAGTGGTGGTCTGTGGCTATGGAGAGGTAAAATTTACCTTTAACTTACTAGGTATTTAAATGTGTTTTGCTGACATACTCTAGAATTTTTCATACACAGAGACATAAGAGTATATTTACTTGAGAAAAATTACTTTAGAGGCCCTCTGGTTAAAGTACAATTCTTGTTTTTCTTCTCATTCTTGCCATTATTTTCCTGAGTTGATTATCTGACTTGTTCCATCACTATTTGTGATGTTCTTTTGGCTTATGTTTTGATTATAAATCGTGAGTGTGGGTGTTCTTGTGCACATGAATGTGCTAAGTAGGGGCTAAGGGTTTGTTTATGAACTACATTGTTTTCTTATTTTTCCCCAAGCGTGAATCTGTTCAGTGAAATTCTTTTTGGGGGCGAAAAGAAAGATACACTTTACCAGAAGCTTTGAGAACGGTCTTCTCACTGATTTTCCTTCTATATATTCTCTCTCTTCTCCAGGTGGGGAAGGGATGCTGTGCTGCTCTGAAAGCCATGGGATCCATTGTATATGTAACTGAAATTGACCCCATCTGTGCCCTGCAAGCGTGGTAAGTGTGCAGACCTGCTCCCTCCTCTATACTGTCATCTGACATGCCTCCAGAGGAAACCCGGGGTATGTCACGTCTCATGTTATAGAGGCCCAGATCCTGACATAGGCTGCTGCAACTATAAGCATCTCTCTCTTAAAGGTCAAGAAACTTTGATCTGATAGAAAATAAAATTTAGAATTCCTATGGAAATATAACAGGAGATGCTTTATGCCAGAGAACAGAGCCTCTTCCTCCATATGTAATCCCCATGCTTTACAGAACAGTGATCGTAACAATGTGGGGGCTGAGCATGGAGCTCAGTGGCGTATTGTAGAGCACGTGCCTAGCTCACCAAAGGCCCGTGGTTCTATCCCCAGCACCAAGGAGAAAAAGGGAGAGGTGCTGGTATCAGACACTTTCTGATGTGATATGTAGAAAAGAGCTCATTTGTGATATTCCTTCTCAAAATGTATGACTTGAATCTAATCATGAAGAAATATCCGACAAACTCATTTTAAGGATAAAATGTGCTAACTTGGGTTAAGGGTATGTGGGAATTTATTTGTACTACTCTTACAATACTTGTTTCAAGTGACTCCAAAATTAAAAGCTTTTTTTGAAGAATAGTTTCTTTCTTACATTTAATATGTAGATAATCATACCTACCTCATAGGATTATAAAACTTCACCAAAATAATTATTTCTTTTTCATGAGCAGAATATATTTATTGAGGGAAAGAAAGCTCCTGTCCGAGAGAGGGACAGAAGTGAGGCCCAAGCGGGTTGTCCCTGGGAAACAAAGGAATTATTATATTATCATAAATTAGATAACAAATAACTAATAAGGTATAAGAGCTGTTGTCACAAAATAGATGTTCACTAAATAATAGCTATTATTAATATTATCTCTTGCCATCCTCAGCAGGATGGAAATGTCACTATCCCCAAAAATCTGCAGGTCCAGGTGTCCATAATCTATATACCTCATACTGTCTTTATCACTAACCCTCCAGAAGGATGTCCCCAGGATAATATAGGTATATGTATTGATTACTTTTCTTTCATTGCTGAGACAAAATACCCATCACCCAAATTAAAGAGGAATAGGTTTATTTTTCTTGTACTGGGAATCAAGCGTAGGACCTTGTGCTTACCAAGCAGGCACTGTGCCCCTAAGCTTTATCCCCAGCCTAGGAAAGGTTAATTTAATTCACAGTTTGTGAAGGTTTCAGTCTGTAATTAGCTGGCTCCAAAGCAGGGTGGTATGGCACAGGGGCAATAGTTCAAGGTGACAGAAGACAGCAAAACAAACAAAAACAATAAGTGGGGAGAACAAGCCTCTTTTCCTCCCTGTATGCAGGCTGTCCACCCTTGGGTGGGTGCAGCATTCACACCATCTCCATGCCCTCCTCCCCTGTACCCTCCTCTTGCACAGGATGAGGATGTTAACAAAGTGAGGACCCTGGCTCCCTGCTGAGTCACTTAGTGAAGCTTCTAGATTTCTCAAATTGACAGTGTATCACCCATTACAGCATAAAATGATTCAATTTAGCCCTGCCGTACCACTCTTCATATTTCCTAGCTGTAAACCCACAGATTTCCTCAGCAGAGTTGTTGATTTTCTGTAAGGCAGAGTTCTAGTCTTTGAGGAGAACCATTACTATTCTTGTACTCTCAGGATCATTATAGAAGCCTGAACATGATCCTGATTGCATATAATTCATATCATCTACCTATTGTGTACTGTGCTATGTGCTGAGGATGATTGAGGTGCAGATAAATGAGATAAGGCCCTGCTTTTAGAAGAACACAGATAAATAACCACTGTTCAGTGTAGTAAGTGCTGTAATGAAAGCAGATGGAACAGGCTTTAATGCAAGACCAAAGCAGGGTGGGGCACCTATGAGTTGGAGGCAGGATTGCCTCAACTGCAAGGCCAGCCCAGGCTACATAGCAAGACCCTGTCTACACAAGCATGCATACACACACACATACACACACACACACACACACACACACACACACACACACACACAAATTGAAGGATAGGGAAGAACAGAGGGAGAGAGAAAACTGAAAACTGATAAATTTGTATTTTCTTAGTTTAGAAGGCTATGCTGGATGCAGGGAACAAGTACATAGTATCCAAGGAAAATAGCACAGCATATTTAAGAAGCTATAAGTATTTGTGTATAGCTAGAAGATATATCTATATTAGTATTGATATCTCATCCTGAAAAAAGGCAGTCCCATTGAAGTATTTTAAGGAAGTGACATGTTTTTTGGGGGGAGCAGGTGGGGAGATTTGAGACAGGATCTCAATATATAGTTCTGATTAGGCTTGAACTCCCTGTATAGCCCAGGCACTTATCAATCCTCCTGCCTCAGCCTCCTGAGAGCTAGAATTACAGTCATATGCCACTATACTCAGCTAGGAAATGACATGTTCTAGTTGCATTTAAGAAAATCACCCTGCAATATGATTTTAAGAAACATAAACCTAGAGGCAATGAGATTAGGCCAGAGGTTACTGCTGTAATCTAGACAAGAAATCATAAGGCCTGACTTAAGCATAGCATGTATGGAGAGAGGACAGATTCAAGAGTTTTTGTTTGTTTTTTTGTTTTTGTGGTACCAGGGATTGAACTCAGGATCCTGTGCTTGCCAGGCAAGTGTTTATTCTACTGTGCTATCTCACTGGCCCTTCAAGAGTTTTAAGAAATTAAGAAAATAGCATCAGTCAGAGATATAGTTCAGTGGCATAAGTGTTTACCTGGCAAGCACAAGGTCCCAAGTTTAATCACTGTACAAAAAAAAAAAAAATAGTATCAACCAGATTTGGTGACAACTTTAATTATGGAGAGCAGTAGGTTTATGACATTCTAGTTTATTTGGCTCAAGCAGTTGGGTGAACAGTGACGTACTGATCAAGACAGAAAATAAAGAAAAAGAAATAGATGGGTGTATTGAAGATTATGAGTTTATTTTCCAGTACAGTAAAGATCCTTCTCAGACATGTGAGAGGAGCTATTCAGTAGATAATTTGATCCTTGTCTGTGAAGCTTCGGACAGACTGAAATTCAAGGTACAAATGTGCAAATCAGATAGCTGTAAGTACTCATTTGCAGTGAAGGGCAAGGTATAAGAGTATTGAAAAAACAGGATTCTAGGGTGGAACCCTACAGAGTACCAACATTTAAAGGTTGACTGAAATTGGAAAGAGATAATTAGAAATTTTAAAAAAAAAGAAACAAAAACATGGACTCCAAGACTTATGATAACATTTACTGTGGCAGAAGAAGTCGAGTGGAATAAAAGAGTAAGAAATTTTTGTTTGTTTGCATTCAGGAGATCATTGATGATCTATTTCAGTAGGGTTGTAGATTCAGTGGCTAAGTGACACTTTGTAGAAATTTAGTTGGGAATCTCATGGTAAACCCTGGTTCCCTATTATAGTAAGAAATAAATTCCAGTGCTATGAAGGAACCTTTTATTTTTCTTCCTTGTAAACTAAGGAAATGATTGGGATTTTTCACTAATAGAAATAGTCCAGCTATCTCAAGTGATGTTATGGGTACCAAGGGAAGTTGATAATAGCATTTGAGATTCTGTACCAAAAAGGCTCCCAGATGTAATTTATGTTCATTGATAATGCTTTATTTTTACAGCATGGATGGATTTCGACTGGTGAAATTAAATGAGGTCATCCGACAAGTGGACATTGTTATTACCTGTACAGGTATGGTTTAACATTTTGAGTAGCATGGCACTTGGAAGCACTTTCCATGGAGTACTTGAAAGATGACTGGAAATGTTCTGAACATGGGTACACTATAGTTTTATTTATCAATTTATTTTTGGAATCGGGAATTGAACTCAGGACCTCATGCTTGCCAGACAGGCGCCATGCTCCTGAGCTATATCCCTGGCCCAAGGCCACACTCTGAAAGCCAGAGAGTGGTCCATGAGACCAATTGGCCTTGTTGCATTCTTCCTACCTCTTTTGAAGTCCAACTAAGGATACCAAAGGTACCATTAGATCATACTTATAGAAACATTTCTCTCCGTCTTTTATTATCATCATATCTCTGTCCATCCTCAACCACCTAGGAAATAGTTAGATGATAAGATTAATTTGTAGGGGTTTATTTGTGAAACCAGATTTTAAATTTATACATTTGAATTTTTTTTTTAAAGCTGACAGTTGTTCCCAGGTTCTCAAGCATGCTAAACATGCACTCTAAGACTGAGCTACACCTCTAGGCCCCTTGATTCTTTACCTTCAAAAGTAAAGTATATTTCTCTCTAATTCCTATAATTAAGGCAAGGCTAAAGCAAAATTCTTCACAGTAGAGAAAGTAAAAGAGCTTATTGTACTAATTCCCAAATTAATATAATAGGTCAATTAATACAATAGATCTTAAATTTTAAAGAAGAATATAGATGGCTAATTTTCTTTTATAATTCTATTTTAGAGGGGGAACATTAGAATATTTTAAGAATAAAAATACACCAATAGCCTCAAGGAGACTTGAGAGCAGGGATGAGGAAAGACCTTAAAAAACTGATCTTGGGGCTGGGGAGATAACTCAATAGAATAAGAGCCTGCCGGCAAGCACAAGACCCTGAGTTCAATCCCCGGTACTGGAAAAAAAAAAAACAACTGTTCTTATGCAGGGTGTGGTGGGAATCTGAGACATTAGGATTGTAAGTTTGAGCCTGGCCTGGGCACTTTAATAGAACCCTATCTCAAAATAAAAAATGGAGCTGTGTGTGGTGGTGAATACCTATAATTCCAACATTCTGGGAGGATGAGGTAGGGTGATCACAAATTCAAGCCCAGCCAGTTCAACTTAGTAAGACCCTGTCTCAAAATAAAAAGGACTGGGGATGCAACCTAGAATGAAGGTCCTGGGTTTAATCCTTGGTGCTTAAAAAAAGAAGCTGTTTTGCTTCACATTAATTGTAAATTCTCTAGATTTTTTTTTTAACAGATTAATTAAGATGTAGTTCCTGTACCGTATTTCACCCATTTAAAGTGTAGAATTGAAGTTGGGGGTGTAGCTTAGAGGACTAGGGATCAATCTCTTGCATCAAAATAAGTAAAATGTACAATTCTGTTTTCTAGTAAATTCGTAGGGTTGTACAATAATCACCATAACCTATTAATATAATTTGCTTAAAATTAAAGCATACAGTTCAGTAGTTTTCAGTAAAGTTGTACATCACATTACCTAATTCCAGAACGTTTTCATCATCCCAAAAGAGAAACATCATATCATAAACAACCACTCTTATTCTATCCCTCATCTAGTCCTAGGCTAGCATTTTGCCCATTTTGAGTTTTGGGGTTTGTTTTTTGTTTGTTTTTGTGGTGGGGGGTTTGTTTTGAGACAGGGTTTCACTGTGCAGTGCAGGCTGATCTCAAGTTTATCATGTAGCCCATGCTGGTTTTGAATTCAGTGATTCTCTTGCCTCATCCCAGTACTGCACTACTATGCCTGGCAAGTGTTGCTGATTCTGGACATTTCACATAAATGGGACCAAAGTCATCCCTGTGATAATGTATATCAGTACTTCATTCATGTTTATTGCTAAGTAATATTCCATGGCATGGATCTACCACATTTTACTTCTCTATTAATCATTTGTTGGACATTTGCATTTTACTTTGGGCTGTCATGAATGATGTTACTATGGGGCTGAGGGTGTAGCTCAGTGATAGAATATTTGCCTAACATGCACAAGGCCCTAGGTTCAACCCCCAATACCACCATATATATACGAGACATTACCAACTTTTTTCAACCCTGGTGATCAGTGCAGCAGATATCACAGCCAGATCAACCTCACATCCACCAAACTTTTTTTTTTTTTTTTTTTTCGGAACTAGGGATTGAACTCAGGCTCTTGCACTTGCCAGGGAAGCGCTTATTCCACTGAGCCATCTCCCTGGCCACAACCAAACTATTTTTTAAA